TTTGGTTATCCTTCACTAAAAGTTTTGAAGTCTTTGGTTCCTTCGTTGAGTTAACTTTCTGTTTTAGATTATGAGTCGTGTCAGTTGGGGAAACATCATCGTGTTCCCTTTAGTCCTAGGGTTGATAACCATGCGTCGAGTCCTTTTTCTTTGGTTCATCCAGATGTTTGGGGTCCTTATAAAGTGATGTCATACAATGGATATAGATATTTTGTCATTTTTGTTGATGATTATTCAAGGATGACGTGGCTCTATTTAATGAAAGAAATGAGTGAATTATTTACCATTTTCCAAAAATTTTATGCTGAGATTCTCAACCAATTTGGTGTTCACATTAAAATTTTTCGTTYCGATAATGGCSGTGAATATTTCTCTTCATCATTTCAAGAATACTTGAACCAACATGGCATTATACATCAGACCTCATGTACCTACACCCCACAACAAAATAGGGTGGCTGAGAGAGAATCGTCATCTTTTGGAAATAGCTCGATCCTTCATGCATCACATGAATGTTCCCAAACCCTTTTGGAGTGATGTGGTTCTTACTTCTTGCTTCTTGATTAATCGGATGCCCACGTCTATCCTTGATGGTCATTCCCCATTCACTACCTTGTTTTCCACCTTGTCTCTGTTTCCTCTTTCTCCTCGGGTTTTTGGGTGTGTCTGCTTTGTCCATAATCTGAGCCCCGGGAAGGACAAGTTAGATGCACAATCCATTAAGTGCATCTTCCTTGGCTATTCCCGGACCCAGAAATTGTATAAGTGTTATCATCCTAGTTCTCGACGTTCCTTTGTGTGTGATGATGTTACCTTCTTTGAATCTACTCCGTTTTTCTTGGGGTCCGATGATGTTTCTTCCTCCTCATCACCTCCTCCTCTTCCTCTTCCAGTTGCGGATTATGTTCCTCTTGTTCCAGCTATGACCAAGTCCTTGCCTCCAGTGCCACCACCTGTTGAACGGCCACCTATCTGTCAAGTGTATACACATCGCCCACAGGTACCAGCTGCTCCTCCTCCAGCTCCATCAACGTCGACAGATCTGGCAGTTGTCCCCACACCAGCCCCAAACCCAGTATTTGATCTTGATCTTCACATTGCCTTGCAGAAAGGTAAACACACTTGTACCCTTCATCCTATTTCTAATTATGTTTCACTCACCCACTTTTCTGCTTCCCATCACCAGTTTATCTCTTTGTTATCCTCTGTTCTTGTCCCTAAGGATGTCCAGGAAGCCCTTGCCTCTCCAGGATGGCGCCGTGCAATGGAAGAATAACTCTCAGCTCTAACTCATAATCATACTTGAGACCTCACCACTCTTCCTCCTAGGAAGCAGGTTGTCGGTTGTAAGTGGGTTTATACTGTTAAGTATTTACCTGATGGTAGTGTAGAGCGACTGAAAGCTAGATTGGTTGAAAAAGGGTATTACCAAACCTATGGTATTGACTACACAAAGACCTTCTCCCTAGTTGCTAAGATAGGTTCGGTTCATGTTATGATCTCTCTTGCTGCTATATATGATTGGCCCCTCTATCAGCTTGATATCAAGAATGCTTTCTTGCATGGTGATTTGCTCGAGGAGGTCTATATGGAGCAACCAC